CCGTCCGTCCGTCCGTCCGTCCGTGGGTGGGTGGGTGGGTGGGTGGGTGGGTCTGTCTCTGTGTGTGTGTGTGTGTGTCTGGATTCTTGTCCTTCAGAACAACTAGCCTAGCTTCATTGGGGTAATGACTATGGCGGTTGTAACTTGTTTTCATGTCTTGCCCCTCGTATGACAGCGTCAGCAGATCCTTTGACTTCTCAGTCCGTCGTGTCGAGTTCGAGTCCGGTTTTGAACGCCGAAATATCACAGCAAACACTGTAAGATTTCCGCTTTACTCAAGAAGAGTTGACTTTTTTCCATTGGAACTTTTAGGGCTTCAGAGTTCACTTAGTGTGTTTAGGGGGCCTGTTGTTATGATGTTTTGATTTCGCGATTCTTTTGGGGCGGGCTGGGGGCCAAAGGGAGAGAGAAAGAACAAAAGACAACATTTGCTGTGTATGTATATACATGCACATATGTTCAGCCCTCAGTTCTTCGGCTAAAGCTACAAAGCCGCGTATTCGAAGGAGTCATCGGGTTGGCCCTCGTACGCAGTGGCGCCACGATTGGTGGGAAGGCCAGTTCTTTCCAGCTCCGAGACAGGGTTGAGGGTTGAGGGCTTGATTTCCAGTATTAGAAAAGGGTTTGAAGACGTTGAGGGTAGGTAGACTCCAAAATTATCCATAATTAGACAAAATATTGGGTTTGGGGGGACGGGCTTGTTTCCGATGAGGTATTTACAGAAGCACACAGGGATGGGCGTGCACTGCCCCCAACTTCACGGTTCGAAGTGCAGCGGGACAACGTAGTCAGTGGAAGGAGTTTCTACGTACCACCCAGTTTTTACATAATGCTTCCTTCATCCCTTTCGTAGCTTGTTGCTTCCCCCACCACGTAACAAGAGATCCGGGAGCACTGGTGTATCTTGTCTTGTGTTTTTGAGCGTGAAGCATTGAAGACCTGTGGTGTCAACAGGTCTTTACCGTCCCCCATGACGACGAGGTGCGTTTTAAGCCTGCGTGGGTTCGGGCGCCCGTTTTTGGGGCGCGGTGAGGCGACAGTTGCAAGCTAGACTGATCATCCAAAATCTCGGGTTCAGGGGTTAAGCATAAATTGAGCATAAATGAGACATCGTACCTTCGCGCGTGTTGGGATGCTGGACCAGCCATCCAACTGCAAGTCCGCGATTTTGTCATGGTGACCTTCCGAGCGGAGCCACTTTTTTAAGTGTATCCCGACATCCGACCTTTGAATAGTTTTTTGGCCCCCTTGCTACTTGTACAGCCCTTCTCATGCAGTTGTCAGTATTAGTTGCGCCCGAGTCGAGTCGAGGCTGTGTGGGTGTGAACCCAATTATTGCTTGGATATCTTAGATTCGTAGATTCTAGATTCTTCCTGCCTATGGCCTGTCTTTCCCGTGTCACGCCGACCTCGTACCAAGAACCTCGCCTGGCTTGTCCGAGTTGTGAGAGCGTAAATACCTTCGGCATGTCCCACGGTATGAACCGAAATCCGGCGAGGATTCATGCAATGAAACGACGCCAAAGAAACACACATTCAGTCGCGCACCTTATTGTCTGTGGTTCTGCCAAGCCCGTCAGGTTTATCCAGAGTTGGTGCCGCTCGGCAGTTCCAGAAGGTTCTGACCCCAAAACAATGGCTACGATACACTCGCAGATTCAACCTGGAGTTGAGGCACCTCGGTTCTCCAGATGCAGAAGAGAGGCCATGTAATACCGATCCGATCCGTTTGAATGATATGTACAAGTGATTTTTATTCTCGGTTACTAAGGCCACACTAGAGTACAGTTACTCGAAGCTGCAGCTTGTAATGTTTGCGGCCATAGCCGACATGGAAGATTCCCAGGAAAGCGGTGATGCCGTTGTGGTCGCTGGGCTTCTTTGCAGCTGCCCTTTGACTGAAGTTGTATAGCTGTCAAGCCTGCTTCCACCTGGAGACACATTTTTTTGCATGAGCGACCTCACGCCTCTGTCAGAGTCTAGTCCCAAGACCACCGTATCTTGCAACACATCCCGATCTTGTCAATCTTTGGCACACTAGGTTGTACTTTTTGGAACACTTGTTGCCACTTCCTGCCCGTTAAATCCCAGTGTAACCCCTCAACCCGCCTTGGTGCCTTCGCACGTGCGACGTGCCGCAAAGTGCGACAGCTTCTTTCTTGATTTGGATTCTGAACTGCGAGCTCTCAGGTGCTGGTCGGCAGCGTTCTCTCCAGCTTCAACTCAGCGCTCAATTCTGCCAGGGGCTTAGCAGATGTATCGCGAGGAGCACAGACAGGCAGGAATCCTTTTTTACTTTTTGGCAGCAGAGTGTCCCTTCCAAAGATAACATATCCTAGCATTGCTGCTGTATCCTTCAGTTTGTGCGTTGGGGCCCTCTGTGTGACCTGCCCTTGATGGGACCTGACCTTACCGGACCATAATTCGACGAGCTGCCCACTTGCCATACCAACCATCACGGCATAGCTTCTTATGACAAGTAAAGTCACAGAAGCAGCAAGTGCCCCGACAACAGGGCCAGAAGCGACTCAATAGTTGCAACCATATGGTTTCAGAGTGGTGATGACATGTAGCAGACAATCCGCCCAGAGAAACACTGACAGATCGATAGTGGCTACGACGATGGTGACGGCGATGGTGCTGGTAGCGGTCCCCGAAGTGATAATGGCGAAGGCAATGCCGGAAGCAACAGAAGAAGCAGCAACATGTGTTGTCACATTGGCTCAGGGCGTCCAAGCTTGATAAGGTGGTCGCCCCGCAAAAGCCCGGACACTTTACGATCCGAGGCTGCGACCCTGTTCGGCCTGGAAATCTACAAGGTTTACATCAACAAGGAGGCGAGTGACAAGCGGATCGTCTTCGTGTCGACTATGCCGCTGGGCTCTGGAAGCCTGACTACGGTCCCGGAAGGAGCCTTCCAAACGAGGTAGCCGGGATGTCTAGGGCTTGGTGTAACTGCTGTTCTGCCAGCGGAGGGCTTAAAGCAGGGAACAGCTGTCACCATGGTTTGCTTCAGTGTCGAGTGCTGATAAGCCAAGAGACAATCGGAGATTGCAAACAGAACAAGAGGACGAACAGCAAGAGCAACTGCAACTGCAAGAGCAGCAGCCACATCCACACCCACACCCACACCCACACCGACAGCAGCAACAGCACCAGCGGCAGCAGCAGCAGCAGCAACAACAACAACAACAAAAGCAACCCAACCAAGAAGAAGCAACATTGTCCAATCTGGCCTGAGGGCTGACATGGTCGACCTTGTGCCACAACTATTAGCAATTATTTGCAGAAGTTTTCTGCCGTCTCAGATGCCGGGGATCCTGGCTTTCCCATCATTTTCGTCAGCGGCTGGAACGTAATCATCACCCCTTCAGTAAGCGAAGACGCCAAAAACAGGGAGATCGCAGAGCGACAGAGACGAAGTGTGAGTGAGGGCGAGAGTTTGCAGTGCGCTTTTGCAGCAGTCCAGGTTTGGTGGGCTGATGACATTGGCTTCTTTTGTCATCGCACCGCTCTTTGAGCACATCGACTCTCGTCTCGCCATGCAGCATTTGGAGTGGATTGCTTTGCACGACTAAAATATTGCTTTCCGAATGCAGCCTTTTCCCGAAATAGTGTGTAACACGTGCCGTACATACTTTTAGTTACTATGCAGGCTTCTTACCTTCAGCTTAAAGTAGTTGCATAGTGTGCAAAGGAGGCGCAGCCTGCGGATAGGTTCTCTCAACTACTGCGCCGGTGCCGCTTGCCCCATTATTTACACGCGATGTGAGCTGTGCGCTCGAGATTTACACACATGGGCCTGTGTCCTCCGGAAAGCGCGATTCTTTCAATATTCCACTACATTTAGACTCCCGTTCAGGCATGAGGCAGTACATGGACGTGGGGCAGGAGAAGGATTTAGCACGTGGTCCTAAATCTTGTCAGTTCACGGGCGGGAGCATGTGGGTCCTGGCTGTGAGTCCCGCCAGCACATGGTGCAAGCATTTTCGCGGTGGTTCACTGGTGGCCTCCCTGGTTTCCCGGTGGTCTTTGCGTGGACTTCTGGGGGGCCCTGGGATCTCCTGGTGCTCTGCTGGTGGTCGTGTTCATCTTGGTCGTCATGGCTGTGGTGCTTTATGACTGTTTGGGGATCTAGAGTGATCCCATGGTGAGTTATTTAGCGCAGGACCTCCGCAAGCTGGCTTTTCTGAGCAGCAACAACATCGCACTGAGGCGAACGCACCTCTGTTTTGGACCGGGACCCACCCTAGCCCGTTCCGAGTCAGAGAACAAGATGTTTCGGACTGTTTTATGCCGACAACGCCCTGCGGCCTTAAGGACGGAATCTTCTCCTTCCAACAGCATGTAAATACAGCACCTTGGCTCTGGATTTGGATCCGTTCCACGGGGACGATGAGTTGAAGCTGTTCTAACCCAAATATGGTTTGCACCTAGCTGTTGTCTAATTGCCTCAGAGGAAACAGCACGAGCAGTGACACGCACCGTAGTAGGTACAGCGCGTGCGGTAACAATGCAGATTGGTTTTGGCTCATACCAGTAGCTTCGTTTTGCTGCATCGTACTTGTATTGTGCACCGGTGGTTGGGGTTCTCTGCTTCTCGTTCGGTCGATTTGTCTCTATCTGACTCCCTGCGGCATGTATGATAGAATGAAGAACCACAGCTATACCGTCACATGTGTACTTGTGACATAGGCACATGCAAACATAAAGGGGGATTTCAGTTTCACCATGCACAACCAGCGGTGCTAAACGAAGCGTGCATTGTGACTGGCAGCCCCATTCCATTCAAGCACAAGCTTTGCATCACATGCAGGCCAGAACAACCACAGCCGCAATTAAATAATCAAACGACTGCAACATCGGCCCATGTGACATTAAAAAAAGTTCATGGTTGTGGTGGTGATGGGCATACTAGAAACCGCCGTCAGTTTCCGCTCAAGTAGCATGTTTGCCATCCCGGTTAGGGCCCCCGACTGTGCCCATGCCTCTGTCTGCAGTCGTAGAAGCTGGCTGTAGCTGCCCAGAACCAACATGGTCAGCGCGTTTGGCGTAGAAGCCTGACTAATCATACTTCAGTACAACCCCTCAGTGTTTCTCAAAATTTTGGGAAAAATATATCCCCCAAAACCCCATTCTTATCGTTAAGGCTCCCATATGCGTGACAGCCCTTTCTCAGGAGGAGGTTCAGGGGGCTGTTAAGGCTAGATTCAACTTCGCCACTTCATCAGCAGGCTACACCAGACAGCCCAAGCTCGCCTAAAGTCGAAGTTCAGTTGGCCATACTTGAACACATCCCCAAGGTCTTCATCGCATACTACATTCCGAAACAAGAGCGACACTTGTAAGATCCAAATCCCCTCAAAAAACAGCCAGTCAACATCCTTTCCAACCTCGGAGACGAGTGACGAGGTTCTTTCCTTACCGCTTGTCTCCATCTTTTTTGTCGGCATCGCCACGTCGCTGCCGGCCACCCTGCTGAAATCGGAGACGAAAATTGGGCAAGGCATTTCCAAATTAAGCTTCCCATTCAGTAGCCACGAGAGCCACTAGCAGCAGGAGTCTGATCTGGTTTCACCTCAACGCAAGTTTCTTTATGTGCAGACATCCATGCATCATGAAGCAGTCAGGTGAACAGTTCCAACGAAGAAAGGCATACAATTTTGGGTTGAGCATCATCCAAGTTTGCTGGTGTGAGAACCTGCAGGAGACAGACACCAGCAGCAGCAGAAGTGCAGAGTTAAATGCAAGGATAGACAGGCGTTTACACAAGCCCTGCGGTCAACTAGATTGTTGAGTCCCGACAGTGCCTTGAACAAGTTGTACGACTTCAGCAACTGCGTGTTTGGTTGTTGGTGCTGGCTTTGTCATTTGCACCGACGAGGCTTGCTAGTCCGTGCTGGGCGGAAGGCAACAAATGTACTGGATGTAGCAATGCATATGCCGGTACCAAACAGTACTGGATGCATCTCCTCACCTCATGAGTTAGTCCACGTGGATACCTGCAGGACAATTTAACGGACGAGCTTCTCAAGAATGGGGTGGAATTATATGTACTTTAGGTGCAACACCTCGCTATTCCACACATCCAGGAATGTGCGTCTTCAAATGCCGCAACACAAAGCCGCTCCGATCATCCGAAAGCAGGCCCTTTTTCCTAAACCCTAAATCCTAAACCCTAAGGCCAAAAAAACCGAGGCCGGGCCTCGGGGCCGAGCTCGAAGCTCTGGGTTCGAATACATTCGACAACTTAGCGGAGCAAAGAACCCTTAACCCCCTTTGGCCTATCTAAGTCATAGTCCCTCGACTGAAAGTTTAACATTCCGTGCCCCTCTGAAACTGGACAAGCAAGACTGCTTAAGGGGTTCTGTAAGGGTTAGACTCCAAGGGATACTACAAGGCCCTAAACCTTAAACCCTCAACCTACAAGGGAGATTGCAAAATGCCGAGCTTAAGGATGCTTTTGCTGCGAAAGTTGGCTTCGCCGTGGGTGTCGTCGCCATTGCGGCGGGCCAGTTCGTCTCCTTGATTTGCAATTTGGGGCGTGCGCGTGGCTTCAACTTTGAAGCTTCTGGACTTGGGCCGGTTCTGTAACTAAGGTATATGGAGAGGAGGTTGCTTTTCGAAAGACCTTGGACCCTAGTGTATAGTCATATGGAACGCAAGGATGGCATGCATGAGATCTTGACGGCGTGCAGGATTCATTTTAAGGGTCCTTCCTGCGCCTCTGCAGGTCAAGCGAGAGTGCGTTGGAGCAGTTGAAGCTTCTCTTTGCCTTGAAGGCTTATGCTAGAGAGGTGAACGAAAAGCTTGAACATCAATGCTTGATTGATCTTGATCGCGTTTCCTTCCTGAGCCTTTTAGGTCCCTGAGCCGTACCTACACTTCTTCCATGTCTACTTCCTGGCTTTCGTACTTGCGGTCAGCTCTGCCGCTTGGCTTCACGTGCTCTTCAGACGCGCATGTGGGAAGTCCTCCCGATCAGAATGGTTGGTTTCAAGTCTTCTTGAGATTTCGTTTGGAGGCACTTCTGCTATCCTCGATTGTACTCTTTGCTGCTGGGCTTTAGTGTGTGTTTGGTTTAACACAGTCACAGGCATGGAGATCGGCATCGTTAAGCGACGGAAGATCGCCCGAAAGGGTCGTGGGAATTTGTTTGCGGCTTTTGACAGGGCCCCGTTCGCCATGCAACTCGAGGTCTTGATCGCTACCTACATTCCTTGTCTGCGGCAGCTTGCCAGCACCCAGAATCGCCGCAGTCGCCTGGCTTTGCCAACAGACGCAGAAGATAGGAGTTCGAGAACTAGGATGACCTCGGCCGCGTAGATAAAAAATGACAGCAGTAAACATACACATTCCAAGCTTCTACATCTGATTGCTTCAAGGGTGCTGGAGCCTCCGGGGCACAGGCAGAGCTTTTGGGGTAAGGCTTGGGGGTTTTAGGCTGTGAAACAAGGGCCGGAAGTTTCCTGACCACCTCAAGGTTTTGGCGTCCTGTGTGCAGCGCCTTGAGGGTTCAATCGTATCTAAACTGAGCCTCGCAAGTCCGGCATGGGGCCCTGGACCTGAGTTGCATCGTAGGTTCACCCAAGGTGGGAGGAAGACACTGAACCCCAAAGGAGTGGTGGTTGGGTTGATGTGCCCCGATATCAACATGCTCGGCCCGGGTCGCATCACATGGATGATTCAATGCTACCGTCCTCATGTGGGCCCGAACATTCAGCCTCGCCTGGTGTTCCCCAGTTGTCAGAGTCCAAACCCTCAACCCCACTTGCTAGAGGTATGATGAGGTATAATTGGTGACACCGTGAGTGCGGCTCCCCGAGTTTCGACTGCGAACAGAGAGACCTCATGTGGCTTGTCCCCCGAAGCCATGCATCGGCATCGCACACCCTAAACTTAGACTGCTAGAAGCTTCACTCCTGTGCTGGCGCGGAGGCGAATGTGCGGCCGAATCGGCCGACCGATTTCCTATGTGCCCTGGCACAGAGTAGACTGCTTCTACATTTAAACATGTGTACATACATGCATACATACATACATACATAGATACATACATACACACAAGTGTATTCAGATGGTGTATTATATGTGTACACGTGTGTGTAACATTTTCTGTATACACACAGTAACACGCATGGCATACATGATCACACAAGTGTATAATAGGCATACCCTGAATTTATAGGGCGATTGAACAAAGGGGGGGCGGGCCGAATCTGCTTTGGGGTGGGTGTGGTATCGGGCATGTCACAAGAAGCTATGGTTCATAAATCTTGGCTATGGCGGCTATGATCACGTCATATGTCGGTTCCCGCTCTTGCACCAACTCGCACATAAATTGGACTCCAAATGCCCCGCCCACTGCGGCATGTCATCAGAGTATAGAGTTAGTCACCGACTTCGCATCGCTCTGTTCCAGATTCAAGCTTCGGTGGCTCTGGCTGGTGCTTGGCGGTGTTTTGCCGCTGTTGCTGTTGTCAGTGGCCGGGGTGCTCTTGTTGATACCATTATTGCTCTTGGTCTGTCTGCTCTTCGTGGCGGCTGCTTCAGCACCATCGCTTTGAAGCCATGGACAAGCAGGACTCATCCGTTTGCATCCGGCAGGTGCAACGCACGGACAAGGCTGTCGTTGATCTTGTGAGGTGGAGGCGCTGCTTTGAGAGTTTTCTCCGGGCCTAACTTCGAGCATGGAGTTCCCGATTACTCGCATATCTAGTCGGAGAAACCTGCCGCGCTTGTTTTTCTGATTGTATCGATTGCATGCCCGAAGTATAGCATCAGCTACCGGTCCGTCACAGCAGATTTATAGCTCTCGCCAGGCCTACGTACATCTTAGTCGCCGCTTGGATTGACAAATTGCAGCTTTCTGGTTGAAGTCACTACCCCAAGCCGAGAGCCGATCTCGAGCAGAGGTTGCTGCTCAACAACAGTGGAAAGCTTGCCAGCAATGCCGACTGGCAGTCATCGTCTGTCGCGACATAAGATCGCCACATATTCTGCAGTTTGCTTCCTTAGCCTGCCAGCAGAAGCTGCGTACCCCACGTCTAGAGATAGCCCTTCTGCGCGGAAGCACATACATAATACGTCGTATCCAATATAGAATATACACGTAAACTCTCTTCTGCCCATGTTGTAGAAGGTGTCCCATCAGCCCGGAAGCTTAGCGCCGAGACTCTCAATCAAAGGCAGTTAAGGGTGTAGTTTAGCGCACAATTATCCAAGGCTGGCCTCATGGTCGTTCTGACCACCTTGATTGTCTCCTTGCAGATCGGTGCCTCGTGTGTACTATGAGTTCGAGACTCGAGACAGCCCCGCCCAATTAACCAGACGTCCCTGAATAAGGAGAGATCGGATAGGGCCATAAAGGGCTTTTGGGGCATTGTATAGTAGAGTATAGTAGTGTAGTGCAAAGTACAGTATAGGTAAACAGGAACGAGAAGTGTTGATGATTTCGCAGGGTTGAGGGCCAGGAGATGGCGGTAGCGAGGGAACGGAGACTGGAGTTCCGGGTCCCAGGCCTCAACAAGGGTCTAGGTTTTGCGGGGTTGTGGGTTCAGGGTCCGTGACCCAACAAGCATGCATCGACTGCTGCCGTCTAAGTTCCTTGCAAGGCGTAAGGTCCGTAAGGTGACTGACCCAAAGCGGCTCGCTAAACCCCGAACCGAAAACTAACAAGGAACCCTGAGCCGTAGAAACGCCTCAAGCTCTCGAGTACAAAGTACCGAAAGCTCTATATACCGAAACCTAGAATCCCCACACACTGCAAAGATCAGATAGGGCTCTATGAAGCCTCTTGAAGCCTCTTAACAGAAACCTCCCACAGTTCTAAGAGGCCCCAAAGACACGCGATGAAGCCAGTTTGTTGTTGAAACCTAAATTTGATCCGAAGCCAGAAACCCTCAAGCCTTCAACCCTGTCAACACCCTTCAAACTCTGCAAGCCCTAAGCAAGCCCAGACCCTCTCCAAGCGTGAGCCCACAGATGACGCGTACTAAGGGTTTAGGGCTCCTTTGACGGTTCCGTGGAGGGTTCCTTCAAAGGGTTTAGAGTTTCGGGTATGCAGCTTCCCATAAGCAAGGATCTGAGGAGCTCTTCTACTCCTTCTGGGCGCTATGGCTTGTTGTGCTGACTACTCTGCTGTCTCTTGGACAACTGGGAGTAGAGGGGTTTGGGCTTCTGATGTTTCTGGGCTTGGCGTCAGGAGGTTCTTGGGATGTTCTGTTTTCTTGTTCGTTTTGGGGGGGGGATCCCTGAACCCTAAACGCTAGCCTTAAGCGTAACCCCGATTCGGAAGAGCCCCGGTTTGGCCTCGTGGGGCCATGGCCATTTTCTGCTCGACCCGGAACCGGAAGCTGGGCTTGGAGATTCAATGCAACAAAGAGGTCTGAAGATTTAGTGGTACCAGTAAAGTGTAAAGCAAGTATGTAAGTATACTATATATCTATTGTACACCACCCCAGAACTTCAGTCTGCTTGTGAAGGCACCTTAATTCGCGGCACTCGAGATTCACGGTTGCAACATGTCATCTGCCTCAGCCAGCTCCGTCAGGAAACCAAGAGTTTCGTGCACCGTGGTGTGGCTTTGTACAGTACCTTCGAAAGCTTCATGACAAGACCTGAGGCGTAGGCTCGACTTGCAGTGAAGCGTGAAATCATGCCTTTCGAGCCCTTGTATCGTTACAGCATAAGCGACCCCTCAAACCCTTCGCTAATTCGTAAGGTTCTCTACTAAACCCTACTAAACCCTATCAAACCTTATAAACACCCCATTGCAAGTCTTTAGGCCCCTACATTTTTCACGAGGTTCTGGACTGCGGCCAGCACACCGGTGCAAAAGAAGGCGGCTCAGGGTTTAGGGTTCAGGGGTTTAGGGTCTCTAGGGGATCCCATGAGGGCTCATGGAAGGGTTCCTTTTACGCGTTCTTTTCAGGGTTCCACTGCCCAGGGTTCCTGTAAGGGTTCCTCTGAGCTTCCTATCAGGACTCCTTGAAGGCTTCTTATTACCAAGTTGGGGTTCCTTCAATGGTCCTACGAGGGTTTCTTTTGGGGTTCTTCTGAAGTTTCCGCCATCTGAACAAATACTTGTTGAGCCTTAAACCCCAACGCCTATCCCATGCTGGTACTAGCCGCCGTGCCAGGAGTAGTAGCACCAGTAGCAGTAGCTGTAGTCACAGTACTCGCCGAAGAAGTGATGCTGGAGATGCCGAATAATTAATTCATAGGACCCCCTCTCTTAGTAGGGAATATCATGGGGATGCGACTGTTAAGACTCTGATGGAAAGGCTGAAAGTGGAATTTATGCAGAAACAAACACTGCAACAGTAGCAATAATTACATTAACAACACTAAGAATCAACACGGCGGTACCAACGTAGCATGAATCATGACAAGAATCTTTAATAGTCAACATGCTAATACTCGTGCCGTATTTTTACGATTATCAATACTAGTTATATTATCTTTACTATTATCAATAATATTTATACTAGTTTTACTAGTAGTTATCAATAGTGGTTATCAGAAAAAGGCTCTCGGACTGCAGGCCGACCTCGGGCGTCAGGCAACAGAGATGCCAGAGAACCCGATGGAGGCAGATGACACAGCGGCTGTGGCGGAATGTAGCAGGCTTTTAGGGTTTAGGGTTGAAGGGTTTAGTAACGGTTTGGGTTGGGGTAGATTGTGGGTTTTTGGGTCTGGGGTTTGGATAGTTCGCCTGGTCAGGACAAGAGAGGATCTCACGGATGCCAGAAATTGGTGTTTTGCACTGTAATATAATATATAGTAGTATGATAGTAGTATGAGACTATGATGTATACTAATACAATATAATATAATATAATATAATATAATATAATATAATATAATATAATATAATATAATATAATATAATATAATATAATATAATGTGATGTAATGTGATATAATATAATATAATATAATATAATATAACATAATATGGTAGAACCGCATGCCGGAGTTTGAGCAAGACAGCAGCGGAGTCGGAGGTGCCGGCTGGGGTGATTCAAACAACTCGGGGGGGCCCACATTCTGAGCCCAAGCACTTTTGCGCACTGTAGTCACCCACGTGGATTCCGGATCCAGGGAGATATACTGGATACAACCCATGCAGCCTGTTAGGGTTGAGACCTTCTCTTCGCCCGCTGCCGTAAGGTCGTCGGAGCGGAGTATATCAAGGGCGTCGTCGAGCAGCAAAACTTGTAGGCAGGAGCCTGCTGCCTTGAGGTTATAGGACCTTGGATTCAGAATTGCAGGCCGATGGATGTGAGTAAGGTAAGGAGACCAAGCAGGAGAGAAAGAGAGTCAGAGGGAGAGGGAAGATAACACATGGGAGGGGGGGGGGCAGCATCCCGCCATGTAAATAACTTTAATGTACCATAACATGTTATAATACATTATATAATATACTATAAATGCATAAGGTTGGAAGAGGAGGAAAGGGTGGGCGTACGTTTACGTTTGCCTGTGTGGGGGGTTTGGAAGGGCAAAGGCTGCGGCAAAGAGATCGAGCTGCATACTCCTCCTCAGCTTTTCATCCCGACGGGACAGAAGATCCGACTGTCTTTTCCTTGCAGGAACCCCGTCGACAAGTATGCCTTTTGAATTTTGCATGGCCGCACAGAGAGATCCATTCGCGGACCTTTCGATCACGCCAAAGCACACTCCCTGCTCATACCCAATACTCGTCCTGACGGCAAAGCTCAAACTGGCTTCTGTCCCCATAAGTACGTAGCTTTTGCCGACTTCGAGGACTAGGATGCTACTCGGAGGATATAACGTAATTCTGCAATTTTCAGACGTTTTTTCGACAGTCCGCCTCCTAAGAGAGGAGGAGCCTAGCACACCAGCTGCCGGCGGGGGGCACGCCCGACAACTGCAGACATACAGCGTCCATCATGGCTTTCACTGCATTTCACCACAACGAGACCGCCTAAGTCAAGAACTGTCCTTTCTCTATGGTGTCGTGTCAGGTGCAGGGTCAGTACCGGTACGGCGCTGGTCGAGCAGTCGGTTGCAAAGAGCGGGGAGATGGCATTCGAGATAAGTTGATTCACAAAGCCTTGAACTCGCAAGTACAACAAGCTGCAAGCGCTACATGCTCCAATTTGCTTGATGATGGTCTTGGGGCATGAGGGTTTCATGAGCCCGGACAGCGAAGCTATCAAGGGCGTGTCCCCGAATTTCTGACGAGGTCTTGAATTCACATTTCGCGGGGGCATCGTTGTGCACAGAGTTGCTGCTTTTGCTAGGGTTGTGTTCAGTCGCAAGTCAGAGTGGCGCAAGAAAGATGGCTGAAGCCAATGCAATGTCTTGCTTAAGGGAAATATCTGCAAGAGACTACTCCACGCAGGATGCTCCTGTGAAAAGGCTATAACAGCTACCTGTAAATGGTACTGTGGCACTGCATGCGATTGGTCGCTGGTGCATCCATACAGGCTTACAGACTGATGCACAGGTTCTGGAAGCACATGTGCACCAAGAGAAAGACGAGCATCTCAGCACACGTACATCAGGACAAGCTTCAATCAAGCTTTTGAAGCTTTTTGAAGCCTTCGGAGAGCCTTTGCCTGCATAATCGTTTCACAGTGGGCCATCAAGTGCCTCTCTAGCATTCGCCTCGGGTTGGAATTCGCTGAAGAAGGCTGCAGCCTACTCCTCAGGGACGATGCAGCATTGCACGATCGAGCCCAGAAACCTGTGCCTGTACCAAAGCCTATAACGGCCCCTGCCCGAACACCTTCTTGCACCGCATCTGGCCAAGAGATGGTGTGTATAGATTGGCGACTGCTGCGGTCACGGAAAAATTCTGAAGAGGGGGCTTCGATCTGTGTTCTGCTTTGACCTTGGCTAGTTCCAAAACTGCAAGCCGCAAGCCGCAATCCCACGCAACCCTCGGCGTATTTAGCCATTGTAGCTTCGCTTGCAGTCGTTTCTGTGTTGCAGGGATACTTGAAGAGATCACAGACAGAACACGGGAGAATCGTAGTCACAGAAAGTTCGAACTTGTGCGGCCGATGACGACAGAATCAGGTAAACCACAGGAACGTCCTCGGTATGAACCAAAGCTCGGCCAGCCAGGAACCCGTCCAACACGATCTCCAAAGTGGCAGCATGCCGCGTTCTTGGAGAGTTGGGGCTGTAAAGGTTCCAATTGGATTTGTCTGAGGGTCGTGCATTCACGTTGCAGGACAGGTTGTGGCGAAGCTTATCCTGGAACCAGAACAAAGGCCAAAAGAGAAAACATGGAAGCGGGACAACCCGAAGTGATCCCACGTGTTCCGCACCACAGCTTTCTGTCATCCCTATCCCAGGTCTGGTCGCCACGCTGGGCATTGCATCGGCCATGGCGAGGATTTTCGGGCAACTTGATGTTTTCAACTGCAAAGAGCACCCTGAAAAGAGTTAAAGTGCTAGGCACGTGCTGCGAGCATGCATGTGCCTCTGGAGCCTATAATGCACCCCGAGATGCCGGCCTTAAACTGCACGGGCGAATGGACATTAAGTCCAAACGGGAAAAGACGTTGCCTTAGCTTTCGGCCCCTGATTTCTCGCCTTAGTCTACGGGAAACAGCCGTCTACACGCACATGCGTCTAAACGTATCAGAAGATGATATAGCAATTTGTTTTCTTCGTACATTATAGGTCTACAGAAAATGAAATGCAGTATTATTCATCCATGCATAACTACTTACATAGACATATGGCCAGCCATCCGTGCATGCTCACATGCGTGATCATACATATGCGTCATACAGTATGGATGCAAGTACGTGCAGACAATGATCTACATGCTGTTGCAGGCCTCTTTCCGGTTGTGTGTCGTCCGCAGGTCCTCTCGTCCGTCGGTCTCTCTGTCTGTTTGTCTGTCTCACATATGTGTATGCGAATGTAACATAGTATACTATAGTGCAATGTAATGTAATATAGTGCAATATAACATAATAAGATGTAATATGATATTATATGATACAACATAGCACAACTATAATATACCAATGGTAAAACATAATAGAATACAAAAAGAAAAATATGATGAACTATAGTGCACTATAATATAACCACGTCGAAGATAATATAATATAACGTGCAATATGTTATGATTATAACATAATCCAATATGTTCTAGTCTAGCTCGTGACCAAAGTGGGACCTGCCAAGCGGAATCTTCGGAAGCTGCCATGCGGGAGCCACACTTCCGCGCTTTGCGGTGATTTCGTGCGAGCTGCTTCATGACGCAGGATCAAAGCGCAGCATGCAAGAGACCACTTCTTCTCAGCCTTGGCCCCTTGCATCTTGCGGACTCGCAGCATTCGGACCATAGACACATTGGCATGGGGAGTTTTTTAGTCTAAAGGAAAACTAACCCTTTAAGCCCTCAGGTCCCTTAGCCAGGGTTTGGCGCGCAGGGATTTCGGACTGGTCTTGTCAGTATGTAGGTGCAGACTGGTACAATCGCGCGTCAGTTGCGGAAGGGTTCTGTGTTTTGGGCAGCAGAGTCTTCGGAGTGTGCGTGGAACCTCATGATGGAACTACTACCGATGATACTGACAGTTTTCACTCTTACCACGGTGGCTTCGCACAGTGTATGGTGCGGAATCTTGTGATTCGCAAAGCTAAGGTTGTAGCAGGTGAAACCCTGACAGTGCACTCTTGAGGTGTGTTGGCGTTTGTGGACTCGGGTCCGCAAGCTCCAAGCTTTCTCGAAGGTTTTGACGGTGTACTGCCGAATACCTTTGACACCCTTGTATCTTTGTCTCTCTCTCTGCCTCTCATTTGTAGGTGCTGTCTCGCGAGAGGGGTTTACTTCGTGACGTTTAGTTTGCAGCATGGTTTAGCTGAAAAGAGCAAGCGGTTGAGCTTTGCGGCTCCTGAACAGCACTCGTAGGCTTCCGAAATCTACAGAGGCATAGATGCCTGTCGGAAGTTCAGCCCTAATTTTCACCAATGTTACAATTCTGTGAAGTAGTTTGTCCGGGTTCGCCCTCTGCTCCTTGCCGCTGGTGATATGCTCATTCGCAGCTGGATCCAATGCAAGCAGGGACACCTGCTCAGTTCTCGTGATTCTCGCGTCACACTCAACGATACATGTCCATTGTTGTCTTGTAATTGCATCGCAGCCTTTCCAATCACCGTCGGCGTTGTTTTCCCGTTAGTGGTAGCGAATTTACGGCGTCACACTGCGCACCACATTTTTGAGACTGATGTCGAACCTTTGACAGACCAACAATTTGGACAACCCAACTCATCCCATGCCCTGATTGTGCAAAGGGCCTCCGATCTCAGCAATCCGCACTGGGACGAACTGTCTGAAGACGATTGTCGACGGTATGTGCCATGGTCTCCACGGAGACCATCACCGAAGGAACTGAAGAGCGTCTGGCCTGCAATGCGGGTTCCTGCTTTGTGATCTGCCTTCACCAGCCTAGTGGCATGAGTTTTCTACAGCATGACACGGGATAGGTTCACCATGCACGCAGCATGTTTAGTGTAACCTCGGCTATGCGCGGTGCATCTTACAGCAAGGTCAAGCAGTGTCACAAAGATCGTAAGGTTCAGCATCCCAAGCGTCCACCACCAAGTCTTAACGCCCCCGATGAAGCTGTAGGCTCCTTTGCTTCGCATCCCACAACATTTTTCAGCATGGCTTCTTCGAGCAGAGCAACACCCGACAAAACAGAAGCTTGCGAGGAATACGGTGGGCACAGACGAAGAGCCGCCGCATGAGAGCCTCGCTCGATATGGCTAAGAGCCACAACTTATAAGGGTCCATCTGAGCTTGGGGGCCTGAGTTGTGGCGATTTGCAAAAAGGCTTCACCAGGCTCGTTTTTCAGATTCAAGCCTCTCTAAGCTGCGTTTTCCCGAGCGCAAGAATCGGTCTCCTGGAGGTCCTAGCATTCGCATCTGCACATGAAAGATTTCCGGTGACGGCTTGAGATTTAGGTTAAGCCCGAAGCCTTCTGTGACCCCTATTGCCCCTAAATCCTACGCCCTGCAATCACTGCCGAGTTGCGAGTGGCAAAATACTCGACAATGCTTGTCACTTTGGTTCTTGCTTTGTTTGTCTTCCCAGGCTTTGCGACCTTTGGGTTCGGCTCGTCACGCGCTGGAGGACGATTCCCCGGGCTTTAGCAGCTCCCAGGCTTGAACAGAGAGGCGACTGATTGAAGGGGCAATCAAGATTGCTTGCTTCAGGGTTGAACCC